GGCTCCTGTCCCGTGTGATGGGTTGTTTTTTCTAATTAGCGGTTCCCTAGGGTTGCGTTCTGTTGGCTACTTTTCTTGTGCAGTAGTCCTGGTTGGCACCTTCCTGCAGAGCGGGTTGTGCGGTTCGGCCAGCGTGTCCTGCGCGTGCGCCGTGGGAGTTTGTTTTAGTCTGGGCAGTGTGTTTCAGTGCTGGTGTTTTGCGCCCTTTTTTCTCGGGTGCTTCACCTCTCGCTCTTCTCCCTTCTCCGGTATGTGCCTCGTCGCTCCAGGGGTGTCCTGGATTACAGCTATTGGAAGGACGCAGAGGTTTTCCCTGTGTCAGGGGTGTGGGCCTCCTCCCTGGCCTCTACCCTGCTCTCCTACTTGTCAGGCTCTGGCTTCTTCACCTGGCGGTGCTCCCAGGATCTTCTTGGCACTGTTGGGTCGTGTCACGTTCGTGCCTCCATTCGACCGATGAGTTTCTACGGTCTGGCGTCCTTCGTCCGGGCGCTGGATGCGGAGATGTTTATATACCTGTCTTTATTTAGGTATATTTATGTGCGAATGAGACCGTTGGCACACTGGTGGCTGTCCCTTTTCAACCCTTCCAGTCCCACTCATAGGCATGTCCAACCCATGCTAGAGTCATTCAGGGAACCCACCTCGTTCATGTTATGAGGTGTGTGGGTTGTGGTGCTGGTTATGTACTCACCTGGTTTTGCTTGCGGGGTTTGAGCTCTGGCTCTTTGGTCCTGCCTATATGGAAGAACATGCAGGATAGTACCAGTGGAGAGCAGTGGTGCCAAAGGCACAATCGGGAAACACTGTGTAAACATCAGAGGTCTGCGGTTGTTAAACGTCCTACCTGCGAGCATACGCCATATTGCCGGTACATCCGTGGACTTCTTCATGAGAACACTAGCCTGTTTTCTGATAGAGGTTCCGGCCCATCCTGGCTGTGGTGGGTATGTGGGCCTGCAGCCGCTCCAAGCAACAGCCTGGTGGACCAACCTCTCACAAGTCAAGCCTAGCCTCGGGCCGGGCTTGGGGAGTATATGAACGTTGCATGTGGTGCATGTTGCTGCGGCACGTGTGCATTGGTAACATGTTTCGTGGTGGCGTGTCCTTGTTCCTGTGTCAGGTTGTGGTGTGGCACTTTGCTGCTGTTTTGTGCCTGGAGTTTGCGTATGGGGGTTTGTTTGTTATTTTCATGGTCTTTGGGTCCCTGGCTTGGCCCTTCCATGTGCGTGGGGTTCTGTCCCTGCCTGATTGTCCACCCCTGGTTGTGTTTCCTGGGGTTTGAGCTTTGGCTCTTTCATCCTGCCTCCCCCCTGTCGTTTCCCTGGCATCTCCTTTGCTCGGTTTTGCCTGCACTTGTTGCTGTATAGGGGGGGTCAGTTTCCACCGCTTCCCTTCTTTGTGCGTTGCCTTTGTTTCCTCCTCTGTCGCAGGGGTTTTCTTCGTATGTTCCTTGGCTTCTTGGGTGTTCCTTCAGCCTGTGTCATATGGTGCGCTTATATGTCTTGGTCTGTTTTCATTGCTCATACCTCTTGGTTCGGGTACTGTTCTGGCGGCAACCCTTACGCCTTCTTCGGTTTTTCAGGCTTGCCCTGCCTCTTGGATTTTCAGGGTCTTGCAATGTCTCACGTCGGACCCGTCATTTCTGATCTCCTGGTGGGCTTGCTCGCGTTGGGGAGCTTCTGTTCGGCAGACGTTCCATCTCCTTTGTGCCGGCCTGGGCTTTGGTGGTTGCGCCCGAAATCTTCCCGCGGCTCCGCCTTTTCCTGGGCTCGGATGAGCCTTGTCGGGGCTGATTACATTCTGCCTTGCGTGTCTCGCCTCCGGTTAGTGGTCTGATGGCTTCATTGTTGGTGTCCCACCTGCGTACTTCTTCTTGGCGGCAATATGGGGTATTTTGGCGGTCCTGTCTTTTCCTCCTGTCCCTTCTTATGTGGCTGCGATAGTTAGCGTCGGCTTGGTTTTTCTGGTGGGGGTTGGGGCCGTCGTCTTGCCACATACTGTCGCCTCGTTTTGTGCTGCGCTGGCAGAGCTGCTTCAGCTTGCTTTCGGCCTTGGTGTTGCTTCTGCACCGTTAATAAGCTGTCTCGTGCGTTGTTTCACCTCCAGCCTGTTCGTGCACCGCTTGCACACTCCTGGTCTCTGGTCAACATGCTCTGTCTTCTCCTCGGTTGGTGGTGCCCCCTCGGTTCTGGTTTGTTTTTCGTCTGCGTTTTTTTTTTTTCCTGTTGGCATTTACCTCTGGGGTCAGGTCGCTGGGCTTCTTGCTCTCCTCTGCAGGAGTTTTCTGCACCTTCGGTTTTGGCGTTTTGGTTATTAGATGGCAGCAGTCTCCATCTTTTCTGGCACGGGATTGTGCTGCAGCGTTCCGGAGGGGTCCTTGGTTTGTTGGTGCTTGGTTGGTCGGGCCGGGGTGTGTCGTGTTTTGTGTTCAATGGCGGCCTCCGCTGTTATTTGCGTGCCGTGGCCTCTATGTCCGGGGCGTGCTTTGAGTTGATCCAGTTCCATTCTTCCCTGTTTGCGGGTGACAGGAGGCAGCCGGTTGGCCGAGTGGACAGCACGCTGTACTTGTGATCCTGTGGTCCCGGGTTCAATCCCGGGCGCCGGCGAGAAACAATGGGCAGAGTTTCTTTCACCCTATGCCCCTGTTACCTAGCAGTAAAATAGGTACCTGGGTGTTAGTCAGCTGTCACGGGCTGCTTCCTGTGGGTGGAGGCCTGGTCGAGGACCGGGCCACGGGGACACTAAAGCCCCGAAATCATCTCAAGATAACCTCAAGATAAAGACGGTGTCTCGGGTTGTCTGCAGTGTTATTGCGGCTGGCCTGCCTGTGTTCTTTCCCCAAGCCCGTGACGTTCGTTGCTCTTGCTGCCATTTGGGCGGCGTGTCCTTGCTGTCATTCGGGCACGGATCTTTTGGTGTTTGTACAGGGGCCTTGCTGCTCATTGTCTCGTGTTGTTCATGGGCCCTTTCGAGGCTATCGCCTTGGGTTGGCATTTGCTGCCGGTTGTCTCGCTTCCGTTGAGGGGTGGGTGGTGTCCGCCTCCCGGTTCCTTGCCTTTGACCTTCCTCCACCCCCAGAGGTGTTTGGGGTGGAGTTTACATCTGCTCCATTTCGTACGCTTTCTCGTGTTTTGTTTTACCTCGGGCCTGCTCATGCCTGAGCTGGAGGTAAAACTCGCCTGAGCCGTCCTGGTCCTTGATCAGGGTGCCTTCTTATCTTCTCCTCGGTTTGTGGTAGCCCCTTCGGTTCAGGTTTCTCCTCCTTGGTACTGGTGGTAGGTTTGTACATTTGCAGCCTTTCTCTGTCCTGGCGACAGTCGAGATGGCTGCTTTCCGGAGGGTTTTTTAGGTTATTGATGCTTAATTGGTTTGGCTGGGCGTGCGTCCTGTGTTGTCTGGTTCCGCTTTTTGCCGTTACCTGCGTACCGTGTCTGAGGATGCGCTTTGGGATGATCCGGTTCCATCGTTCCCTGTTTCAGGGCTCGGGTCTCCCAGGTCGTCCGCAGAGTTTTCAGTCTTCCAGCCTGCGGTCTGTTCTTGCGCCCTTGCTGTTCGGACGTTTGCAGCTTTTGCTGTTGTGTTGTGACGTCTAGGGCTCATTTCGGGTGCAGGGATTTGAAGGTCGCACAGGTTCTTGGCCGCCCATTCTTTATGCATGTCTGCTCCTGTGCATTCTTGTTGCCTTGGGTCGCAGGTTGCATCCTGTTGTCTCGGCTTCGCGTTGAGGAGTTTGTGGCGGCCGCCTTCCGGGGTTAGCCCTTTCTTTTCCTTCTCTTTGGGTATGAAGCTCCAGGAAGCCGTAGGGGCTCCCCACAGAAAACCAGCGTTGAATGTAATGAAACGCTATTTTCTGGGTGAGCCCCGGAGGCTCCCTGGCAACCCTCCCTCCCACTGGTCGGCGTTTTTTTTTCGTGTTGGTTGAAGCTTAGCTTCTGAACTGAAGTTAGGCAGCCAGTGCGGTAGGTCCAGGGCTCCCACCTCCCCCTCTCGGGGTGGGGAGAGCTGCGCGGACGATCGGTGCAGCAGTAAAGTATGATGTTTGCTTGTTTCCTTGGGATTGTAGGGAGTTTCTACCTCTCTGTTCGGTTTTTTGTTTTAGTTTTCTACCATGTGGGGTTTGTTTTGTTATGCCTACCTTTCTGGGTGCTTAACCCCGGTCGATGGCAAATAAGGAAAACCCCAACCAATAGGGGATTTTCCAGGGCCATTGCTCCCTGAAACCTCTCTAAAGGGGCCAGGTTCTGGCGCTGGTTCCTGGTAGGTCTGAACTCCTTAGCTAATGTCCTGGTCTAACATAACATACATTAGCCCGATAAGCTCCAGGGTACCTCCGGGGCTCACCCAGAAAATGGCGTTTCATTACATTCAACGCTGCTTTTTTGACATCCAGCCTAGGAACTGAATGTTGGGTCACTGACACAAGGGTCTGGGGCTCCCCCTTCCCTCCTGGGGTTGGGGTGGGGTGTGCACAAAAAACGGCGCGGCAACGTGATGACGTTATGCTCGTTTGCTAATTTTCGTTTGGGGAGTTCTGTCCACTCGTTCAGCTTTTGGTAGCAATAGTTTCACCAGAATAGAGGTTTGTTTTGGAGTGTCTACCGTTCTGGGTGCCCGTCATGACGATGCAGACATAGAATGCTCCCAACCACAAAGGGGTTTCTATAGGCCATTGCTGCTCGTGCCTCTCTGAGATGGGCCAGGTTCTGGCTCATGGTCCTTATTAGGCAAGAACTCCAAGCACATTGATGTCAGAAAGTTATACATATCCATTCTGCCTGGATAGCTCCGGGGAGCCTCCGGGACTCACCCAGAAAATGGAATTTCATTACATTTAACGCTGGTTTTTTCACATTTGTGAGCAGTTCATGAGCTGCTCAGAGTCATCAGAATGTTTATGGTTGGGAATGCACTGGGGGGCCAGATGACCAGTGTTAATAGAACTCTGCTTGTACTTTCACATAAGATATGAAGAGTAAATTTATTTTTTTCTTTTCTTTAAGGTTTTCTTGGCTTTAAGTGAAGAAAATGAAGGCAATGAACTTCAATCTGTAGAAAATTTTGGTTATCAAGTAATAAAAGAAAGGTCTACATCATCTCTTCATATTGCATCATCAGGCATGGTAGAACTGAATGAACATGGAGGAAATAATATGGATATGAATGGATTTGCCATTAATGCAGTTGATGTCAAGTAAGAACATATTGTTTTCTTAGTGGTTTTATGTTGTAATCTACATCTATATATAGGATTAATTACTTATTTGTAATGAAATAAAAAGCACTTCTTGTTTTGGTGGGTCCCACTCATAACCTCCCTGTGTTTGTGACAATGGCTCTGTGGGGTAATGGAGAACATGCTAAACTTCTGGGACTGTGACAGTTCTCCTGAATTAAGTTCCATTTTACGCTGACTTACAGCCTCTATGGCAGGGAGAGTGAGTGAGTGAGTGAGTCAAAGATCAACCCTAGTACTGAGGTCTACAGCCCTTCAAAATCTAAAGAGTCAGATAGCAATCCGCACTAAGAAATGCTTGGGTGTTTGAAAATTACCAAACAAATCAATGAAAATATATGAGCTACTTCCACTAGAAATTCTGTTCACAAAAAAAAAAAAAAAAAAAAAAGTGTTCAGGTAAGGTACATCCATACAAGGTGTGAAACAAACATTGATGGATTTCTATATTGACCTAGTACATAGTGCCTAAACCGCTTCGTATCGTTGTCCCTGCATGTTCCTTGGTCAGGGGTGCTTGTCATGGTTCTCGTTGGTTCGCGAGTCTCTTCGTACCTTCCAATATTATTGGAATGTCTGTTGATTTTCAATGTGGTTTCCATCGGGTCTTTTGTCGGCCTTGTTGGTTCCCTTCCATCATCTGTTTTCTTTCGCTTCGTTTTCGCCTTGTTTTGTTTTCGCGTCGTCTCTACTTCCAGTTTCGGCGTTCTTTGTCTTCGTTCCGCACGCCTTCCTGGTGTTTGTACGATGTCTGTACGTTGTGTGTACGATTTGTGTGTCCGCCTAGTGTACGAGCCACGCCTCCCGGTGGACGGGTAGTGCGTTTCATACCTAGTGTGCTGGGGCCGCGTGTGCGTTTTGTTTACGGGCGGTATGCTCGTGTGTTCGCGCCGTTTCTCATGGTTTTCTACAGCTTCTTGCTCGTTTCTCCCTCCAGTCGTGGCCCTCTGGATGTTGAGGGTGTTTTGGATTTATATCTGGGGGTGTCACTTTGTTCTCCCTCTGTACTGCTTCGTCTTCTGCAGGGCGCGCACCTCTGGCCGTATTTCTCCTTCGACCTCGCATTTTATTCAGGTAACGGTACATACTATGCCTACTGCCTCGAGTATGCATGGCTTTCGGGCACACCTTTAGCGCTGCTTCTCGTATGTTACTTGGCTCGCCTGTGTTGTGGCACGGTCGTGTGTCTGCTCTGCAGGTGAGGTTGTCTTGTCTGGCGCTTCTGTCGGCCTAGTGCTGGTTCTCACTTTTGGTGGGGTGCTTGCCTAGTAGTGCTTGCGGGGGTTGGCTCTGGCTCTTGGGCCTCGCTTCTCCTTTCAGTTGACGGTTGTGCAGTTTCCTGAGCCTTCTGGGCTCTGTCTTCACGTTTGCTCCTGTGGGTGGCGTCTGCCTCCTCCACATGGCTTTGGTGCTTTTCGCTTCCTTTCCCCTCTTGACATTAATCAGGTTCTTTTCGTGTCTGTGGCTCCTTTGGGTGCTCACTACCTCCTGTGTCCTCTTGTGTGTACAAACATATGGACATAAGTACAGTGGACCTGCGGAGGGCCTATTGGCCCGTGCGAGGCAGCTGCTGTTTCTTACCATCCATTCCCACTCACATACATGTCCAACCCGCCCTTGCACCAATCTTGGGGCCCCACCACCACGTTACATGGTAATTGGTTCCGCGCGTCACCGGCCCTATTACAGTGCAGGTCATTCCTCCGGTCTTTCCTGATTCTGCGCTTATCCCTTTTATGCCCATTGTTTCGTGCCCACAATGTGCCGCAAGGGTGGCGTGTGCCACTATCCCAGTTTCTATTGTTTTGTGGGGATTGGTCAATAAACACAAACACTGAGGAAATACTTATCTTTTGTTGTGTATTCAGTAGTTGCGGGTGATATTTTGGCGGGCAATGGTGCGGGTTGGGCGCTCTGAGTGTCGATACGGTGTCTCGCATGTCTGTTCTAGACCACACTTGCAGGTAGTCTGGTTATTCTTCGCTACTCTGCTGGTTCTATGCTTGGGCGCTGCATCATAGTTCTTCACAGGTTGGCAGGACTTTTCCTTGGACGTACGGAACGGTTGGAGTTCCATCGTTGGTACTTTGGAGAGCTTTGCTTCTCTAGTTAGGCTCATGCGTTTGGAGCGAGTATCTTCTTGGGATACTCTACTCACTCCGCCATCCTTGTTCACTGTTCCATCCTTGTTTACTCTTCCCCGCTTGGCGGGATTGCGTCGATGGCTCCTGACTAGGGTGTTTGGTGTGGTGTTTGGTCACCTTGCATGTGTCTTTAGTGCCTTTTTTGTCCATCTTTTGTTCTTTGTTGTCCTGTGGGGTTCTGCCCCGCATTTTGGTCCTTTTTTCTGTGGGGAGCCCCTACGGCTCCCTGGAGCTTATCGGGCTAATGTGTGTTATGTTAGACCGGGACATTAGCTAAGGAGTTCAGACCTACCAGGGACCAGCGCCAGAACCTGGCCCCTTCAGAGAGGTTTCAGGGAGCAATGGCCCTGGAAAACCCCATATGGTTGGGGGTTTTCCTTATCTGCCATCGACCGGGGTTAGGCACCCAGAAAGGTAGGCGTAACAAAACAAACCCCACATGGTAAGAAACTACAACAAAAACCGAACAGAGAGGTAGAAAACTCCCTACAATCCCAAGGAAACAAGCAAACAAGCAAACATCACACTTTACTGCCGCGCCGATCGTCCGCGCAGCCCTCCCCACCCCGGGAGGGGGAGGGGGGAGCCCCGGACCTACCGCGCCGGCTGCCAAGCTTCAGTTCGTTCGCTAATGTCAACCGGGATTGACGCTTCTCTGGCCTCAGTTTCCTAGGCGGTGTTTGCCTTGTGTGGCGTTCACTGCCGTGTGTTGTGGTGTGCGGTGGCCAGGAGTACTTCATCAGTGCCGGGGCTGCATGTGCTTAGTGGCTGACTTCCCTAAGCGCCCTGTGAGTACTGCCCTTGCGTTACAGGGTTATCTTCCCTGGGGCGTTCGGGAACCATTCCCGTAGAGGTTCTTGCTGCTCGGCATTTGCCTCGCCCTTGGGGCCAGCTGGGGCTTGGGGCCCTTGTTTGGCCCTGGGTAGGGATTGGTATTGTGCTGGTTAGGGCGTCAAGGTGTTGCGCAGCCTGCCACCTAAGCGGCGGCCGGTTTCTGTTGCCTCTGGAGACGGTGTACTTTTGCGGGGTTTTTCTTTTGTTTTTCATTTTCTTGCCTGGTGGGGGTCTGCCTAAGGTGGTTATAGTTCCACTGGTAGTGTTTGGCGGCCCTCTGCTAGGCCCCCGTGCTTGTCTCAGGGGTTTTCAGTGCTATCATCTACCCTCTTGTTATGTTTGGGTTTCTTAACCGGTTAGCAACACCTTGCCCGGGCTTCCCGTAGTTGTTACCCTACGGGCCCTGGAAACCCCTGTCTGGGCTCGGGGGACCATTGAATGTGTCTTCCGGGTTCCAACCCGTCTTGAACGGGATCGTTGGTTGCTGTTCCCTTGTCTCCGGGTGACAGTCGCCATTTTTACCTCCGTCATGCTGCCTGTTGGGTCACTGACACCTTTACCCGGAGTCTTGCGAGTGATTCTCTGCTTGTTCTCCAGTACTCTCCTGATGTTATTACTGTTCAGAGTACAGGCGGCATCCGTGTTGCAAGCTAGGTTAGGTTGCTGCAACATGCTAGGTTGGTTTCCCACTCGAATGCCCGTGGCCGCCCCGTTTGGTTAGGTGCTGCTCGCCCCTTTCTCTCCATGTTCCCGGCTCCGGACCGTCTGCGGGTTTCGGGGTCGGGGCGGGGTTCAGTTGCGGCAGAGACTCGGGCGGTTTTCGGGGGATGCCCCGTTCGGGTTGGGGACGGAGGTTTGAGCCTGTGCCTCCTGCCAAGGCTTCTGGGTCTTACCAGCGGCCCTTTCTTGTTGCCTTTCCCATGGGCTCTTGCTTTTCTTTAAGGGCGGAGGGCTTGGAGGACGGCTCTGCCCCGGGGCCTCTGTTGTTGGTTCCCGGGGCTGTGGGGGTTGCCTGCTAGCAGTTCTGGGGCGGTTTTGCCCCTTCAGGGGTTTTTCTGCTGTTGGGCGTCGTTTTTCGCCCTTCCAGTCTGCTAGCTTCCCACATTTGCTGGCTTGTTTTTGTGTATTAAGCGTCAGTCACAGCCCCTGCTGGCGGCCATTTTCGTCTGCCGGTTTCACGGCATGGCCACCAGGGCGGCGTTGCGGTTTGTTTACATGCGTCTGGGTGTGCGAGCGAGCGTCTCTGGTGAGTTTTCAAAAAATTTGCAGGGTTTTTGTTCTCCTGTTGTCGTTTCTTTGTTTTTCTGGTGTTTTCTTGCCGTTGCCTGTTCCTCTGGGAACGTTTGGGTGTTGATTTTGGGTCTGAGCCTCTGGGTTTAGGCTCAGTGCCCCTGGCTGGTATGCTTGCTCCCACACCTTGCCCCTCGGTTTTCGGTCTGTTGGGACCGTTTTCCCAGGGCGTTCTGCTGGGGTCTGTGCTTTGCCTTTTAGTGGTGTTCTCCGCCGGCAAATGTGGTGGTTTGGGCTCCCCCTGGTTCGATTCTGGGTTCCTTTGGGTTCCTTGGTTTCGTTCTGGAGGTTTCTTCCTCTTGGGCCCCCTTTTGTGGGTTCAGGGGACTTTGTTTCCTCGTGTGACCCGGTTCTGCCTTTTGGGGTTCCGGGGTCTTCCTGGCTTGCAGACTGAGCTTTTTGGGTCTTGGCACATGTTGTGGTTGTGCTGGGACTTTGTGGTTTTGCTGTCGAGGTGGGCCTTTTGATGCAGTTTTGTGCCTTCTTTGCCTGGCCAGCGTAGTGCTCTTTGCCACTAGTCGGCGGCTTGTGCTTTTACAATATATGTCCTCACCTAGTTGTGCTTGTGGGGGTTGAGCTCTGGCTCCTTGGTCCTGCCTCTCAACCGTCCGTCAACAGGTGTATCGGTTCCTGTGCCTCTTGGGCTCTGTCATGTCTACATGTGACATTGTATGGGGGTCAGCCTCGTTA